GAAGGATTAATGGAAATTCTATGCACTCTAACCCTGTTAGTAGTAAAGGACCCTGTTCAACTCAAGGGAAGATGGTAGTGGCCCCAGGAGAGGGAAGACGGCAGGAGGAGGAGAACCAGGATGGTGACAGTGCAGCAGTCACCACCAGTAGCAATACCAGCCCCTGCTATCAACTTGCATCATGATTCACACTGAAGTCAACAGTTGTCACATCTGTTCTGTAATATATAAAGTAATTACTACCTCAGATTGCCTGCTTTTCCACTAAGTAGTAGATTCTCAGATAATGCCTAGGTATTTTTCAATAGTAAAACATTTGGCAAAATATGCCACATGTTTTAAAAATGTATACACCTCATGGTTTTACAATATACTTACACTGAGAAAAATTAACCAAGATGGGCAGATTCAATACTAGCAGCAAATATTCCTAAAATAAACAGTGGAAGTAATATACAATTACTTTTTTTATTGTTTGGCATTCACTGAGGGTACAAAGAATTTGGTTACACTGATTGCATTTGTTAGATAAAGTGGCTCTTATAATTGTGTCCCGCCCCCAACAGGTGTGCCACACACCATGACCCCCCACATCCCTCTCTACGCCCCACTCCCCACTCCCTCATTCCCATACCCCCCACCCTGTATTAGCTCAGCTAAACCCTTCATATTAGAATTAAGTACACTGGATTCTTCCTTCTCAATTCCCTAAGAAGAACGTGTTCTACCGCAATCCAGGTTAATAGGAAGGATGTAAAGTATCTACCTTTTTTAGTGGCCAAATAGTATCCCATGGTATACAGATACCACAGTTTATTAACCCGTTCCTGGGTTGGTGGGCATTTAGGGTGTTTCCACGTTTTGGGCCATTGTGAATTCAGCTGAGATAAACAGTCTATTGCAAATGTCTTTATGATAAAAGGACGTTTTTCTTCTGGGTAGATGCCCAGTAATGGGATTGCAGGATCAAATGGGAGGACTAATTTGAGTTCCTTGAGGATTCTCCATAGTTACATTTTTGAAAATAATTAGAATCTCATATTATACACATATTATGCCAATCTAATAATTTTACTCAAAAATAATTACTCCAAGACAGAGTTGGCCGGACTGGGGCTAAAGAGGCGCCTTGTCCTCCAGTCTCTGCTCCCCTCTGGTCCCCACCTCCTGTTCCGCCTTCCGACTTCCGCCTGCACCTGGCATAGGTCACACAGCCCCTTCAGCCATGCTGGCCCGGGGCTCCAGCACCAGCTCAGGTCACGCCCCGCTGTCCTACCCTGGAGGCCTCTAGCAGCCACCGCCATGGTGCCAACCTCTCCCCGCCCAACACGGTCAATGCTCAGGACCCGTTAGAGCCCCGCGCCTGCCTCTGCCCAGGGATTCCCTGCACACGAGTCTGGCGAGTCTGCATGGACGAAGCTCACACCAGTATTCCTGAGCTGGACAGTGAGGCAGCCATGTTACCTGTCTGTGATGGACATGAGGGGACGAAGTGGCCCTGTGTTGTGCCATATACCTTCCTGATATCATCAGATGTCAGAGGGTACACAGAAGGTGAGCTGCCCAAAGCTTTAGAAGATGCCTTCCCAGGATGGACGCCAAGCTGACCACGAAGGAAGCCAAACAGGGTGGACACAGATTGCAGAAGACCCACTGAGGATGAAGATGAAAAAGCAAAAGCAGCCGAGGAAGGTGATGTGGACACAGAGGAGGCTGCGGGAGGAGCCTAAGACGACTGGTGAAGAGCCGCCGACTCGCCCAACTCCCCGCAAATCTGCAGCTCGGACAGGCGAGGATCATGGGGAGGTAGGACCTGGGGACCCATCTAAGGAAACTCCTCCACGGGAAAATGGCCCCACAGCCAAGGCCAACGCAGCCTTC